AGCCCAGGTCGAAAATAAAAAAAGTTAGCCAATACAGGGGGAAGCAGGAAAGTGTCAAGGCAGCAAGACTGGGTCCAAACGTCCCCTAGGCCACAGCTGGTGCAGGCGGCCAAGAGGGGATAAGGGGGATGCCGGTACAACCTCAGCTCCATATCCATGCGCTCCGAGACTGTCACAGTCCCTACAAATAGGTGTTAAACTCGAATGTATACTTCAAGGGCGATCACAGCAAAATTGTGCTGGGGCCTCCAGCGCTTCAGGGGGCCTAGTTGTGTCATCACCAGTTGCGGGTGAGGCTGATAGTAATTGCGTATTCTAAGTGTCCTTGGATGAATTTTACAATGTGAAAAAGCTATAATTTGAAAGCTTCAATGGCTTGACAATACAGACACCGCATCGACCCCAAGAGTCGAGCCACGGGTCGCGAAGAATGACCAGCGAGAAGGAGAGCGGCTATAAAAGCAACCCGCTGCAAATTTAGTGCTTCGATTTACAAACTGTACAATATTCAGCATTTTGGAGCTCCTCAAAGTTGTTAGTCGGAGGCAGACAAGATGTATGGCCCCCTGGAGCATCGAGCAGTGATGGTGTTTGCTGGCTCTGTTCAAAGTGGCTGCTTGAGCACGTAGAGTTTAGCGTAGGCCTGAAAATGCCGAACCCCTTACCAGGGAACCTATCTCTCAGAGGCTTCAACAACTTAAAAAATGGCTTAACTCATCTTCTACTCCCTTCTTTTTTGGATCATTGACGAGAAACTGCTATTGAGTGGCACACCGTCCGCTCAGTCACAACTCAAGCTGGCCAAGCCTTCTGACCGCTCCCGCGAAAGGTCTCCAGGCGTCTGATCACCCAACGCCTAAGCAACAAATAAATTTATCTAATATATCAATTTAATTCACAATGAGTCTTTGACGCAGGAGATAAACTTGAAACGCAAAAGTGCACACGTAGGTTGCTGACGGTAGGTGTCCATGAGTCATTTAGGCATGAGTCATTGAGAGTTAAACCTCTAAGGACAAGAGAGCAGGCAACTCATGGAAGCCTCTTTGCTTGAGTTTGTATAACTAATTTGTGGCACAAACTGGAACCCCAGGGGCTCTTCGCAGTCAAGAAAAAAATTCTAACACATTCAACACTAGGAGTGCTTTAATTTGGCAAGGGGCCTTCGCCCACAACTTCATCTCTACGATTAGGATTCCACCTGCAGTAAAAGTTACCAAGTAACTGACAAAGTGCCAGAAAAAAACAAGTGTTCAGCGTTCGTTCGATCAACCACAAAGTTGTGGAGTTTCGAACAAGCGTTGTAATATACTATGAAAGCCTCAGCCAACGCAGTGAATCCCCTTCACGTTACCTTGCTCGGCCTTTAAATCTGTGTATGAATTAGAACATTTCACATTGCGTTCAAAGTGTCACTCAAGAGGGATTATGGAGGCCTGCTGAATAGATGCTGATAGCAGCTCCAATAAACCGTGTCGCTCTGAAAAACATATCTCCGCTTAATTCTTCCTTAATTCTGTCAGACGACTTCAATTCCCACTAGATCTTGTTATGCATGCAATTCCTATCAAGGTGCCACTGAGGCACACTGAATTGCCATGTCCAGAAAAAATCCAGCGTTCTTGCATAGCTGTGCTTAGAGTCTCCCAGCAATGAAAGACCTACAGTTCCTGGCTTTTGATAATGCTGCTCCAAGGGCAGTGATACATTTGGAAGACTTGTCTTCCTGTTACTATTGCATACTTTTAGCCAGTCACATGCAACGTGCATTCCTTAAACCTCAAAATTCCATGGGCTTTGTAGGTGGGACTCCCGTCGCTTCAGCGCCTGTCATCGCCTACTGGCCAGTTCAGGAGAGTTTCGATTGCTCTATCCTGATTTGACATATATGCTACGCCGTTCTAAGTCACGCTATGGCGTAGTGGCTTCAATGTATCAGCATAGACCATGGGGTCTGCGTTGCAGACCTGTTGCGCGAGCAGGCCACCTAGCAACAACAAAAGATGAAGTGGCATGCCTGAGTAGTGCCTGAACTGCGCAGAAGAATTGCGCAGAAGTAGACGAGCTACACGTCACAGACCAAATGTTGTCCTCATGCAGACAGCGAGGGCCGGGGAACCAGCACCGACACCGTGAGTTGCAGTTTCAACATTAGTCTTTTTTGTGATCGCGGTTCTCCAAAGAATCATCATAAAAGATTGATTCAAGAGACAATACTTTATGACGAGAAACAACGCCTGTTGTAGAACGCAGGAAGCCCTCCTTGTTGGCCGGCTTTGCGAGCTGCAGCGCGGCACTCGCGCGCCCTTTCAGGCACGAAATGCCCTCAACAGGAAGAACACACCTGAAGCCTTTGCAACTTAGCTCTGGTTGATACCTGCTTTGCAGTAGCCCCACAGTCGTTTTGTTACATAGTTTCCCCTTCCGTAAGGCTGCCACGCCTGGCACGCCTCCATCTGCTACCCCGTAACGAGATACCCCTAGTGTCATCAGCCTACTGTCTACCTACGGGATTCTCAGAACACTTTGGAGAAGCCGAGGAATCTATAATGCAGTCGGTTGTGTCTCCTTTTCAGCTGTACTTCACGAGCGTAACAGCAACTTGGTGGGGACGGCGTCGCTCTACATTGTTTCTTTTGAAAGAAAGAAGCCAAAGGATGGCCATCTGGGGTGCGCCTTCATAAGCTTAATCAGGTAGCCTTTTAAAGGGGGAAAAGCACCGTTAGACACCTACCCAGGTAGGGACCCATCTCCTCACTGTCGTGAACCGATTTTGTACTGGTCAGAGAAGTAATAAGTTAGAGTAATCTTACACCGATATGGAGACGTGCTCCCTGTCAGGCTATGCAAGCTGAGAAAATACTATATTTGTTGTCCTGTAGACACAGTGATAGAGGATTAGCTATAAAACATTTCCAGCTTCGTCCTGAAGCAGTGAAGACGCTCTGCGTAGGCTGTTGCCACGAAGTCCTCACCTGGCTACAAAGTGAGTTTCCACTTTTAAAACAGTATCCCTGATTTTAAGTATATTGTTCATGTGTTGAAGTGCAACGGGAACAGGCAAGCAGGAAGTGACAGCAGCAATGGCGACTTGCCCTCACCCTCAAACCGTCTCAACCACTCCACACCGCTTCAGACATTCGAAATTAAATAAGCACAGCACCAAGCGCATTCCACTTGTAAGAAGGAGGGAAATACATTAAAATATGGGCTACAAAGACGTAACAATTCCTTACTGCCACCCACTCACAGGCTTGCCTTTATAACTAGAGTTGACACCGAAGCACCGTAGCTCAGTGGGAGAGTGGGGGGCTCATAACCCCCAGGTCCATGGATCGAAACCATGCGGTGCTAGCTTCATACTTTTTGTTCCATCACAACACTATTTTACGAAGTGAGTTCAACCGCAAACTGCAAGTAATTTCTTTGTGGGAAGCCACCTGGGCCAACTAAACGTGTTCGGCAAGGCTGAGTAGGCTTCCACAATCAACCCGGGAAGGCGATACACACAGTAGGTAGCCAAAACATAGATAGGCTGCACACTAGTGCAAGCACTCCTCAAGCCGATAGGAAATATGGGTTCCACCAGTGCTGGTGCATTTCCTGCGCGACTCGAAGGTGCGTCGATGCTCCAAATCATCGGCTAATGCCCTACGTTGCCCCACCCTCGCCGAAAAGGCAATCAATACCATTACAGCACACTAGGAGCTGACAACACCTTGCTAATGGTGCCTCTGAATTCCTAAAGAGGGGCCTCCTCACTTTGAGGGATGTCACGTGCCTGCAGAGAACATCGACGCCCAGTAAGGTGTCCGCACACCCGTGCTCCTGTTGAGCAAGAAAAAGCCTTTCAAGTCGCTTTCTGTTCTGTTTTTGACTAAATTTTGTTCTAGTGGGGGCCAAGATAACAACTCTGGCCTCCATCCAAAAGGGGGAACCCTGTTCGATGCCTCCACCCACAGCAACACGAGAATACAATAGGTCCGACATTCCTGCTACCGCAGTTGAAGCTGCTTTCGCTGCTAAGCTTGGTTGCCTCCCTGTTGAACTACTGACACAACTGCAAGCAGCTCGCACGCACTTCTGTTGAGGCTTTGTTTGCTAGCTTGCTAGCTAGCGGCTTCATCTGTGTCCTTTCGCGCTTTCTAAGTCCAAGACGTGTCCAACAGGCCTTTCAGTTGTTTGATTCTTCGCAGCAACAATGGGCAAGCTGATTTGCACCAGCACCTGCAACCGGAGCCCTTACTGTTTTATGAGTCCATCATTTTCACCATGTTTACCTGATGAGGGGTTCCACAATAGGAAAATATGACGGCCTCTGGGGCCCCTTTGTCCCCTAAAGCCCCACACCGTGTCTAGGTCCCTTCACGACTTCTATCGACGCAGAGCTCTCCGTAATGCGAGAAATCTCCTGCGGGCCACTGCGTAGAGCGCTACCGCCAGGCAAGATGCACAAGCGCCCCAGTTGTGACTCCAAAAGACGGACAGTGGGCCTGTCAGTGACCGCGACCCCTAGATGCAGGTTCCCAACGATACAGTTTTGCCTGTTCTCGCCACTTCTGCCGCCCCTGCACGGAAGGACTTGAGCTATTCACCGGAGGGACCTGCTCCACCTGATCGCACTTAGACTCCTTGTGTCCATTAGAGGAGTATTTTGCTGCAGCTAAGGCAGCTTGTATGCTTGCGGCACACAAAAAGACGGACATAGGATGGCCCAAAGCTATGCTGCTGGTGTTGTCTCTGCTGCTATTCCTTCTGCTACTGTCGCTGAGGCTGGAGCCTGCATTGCTAGTGTTTTTCCCGCGTGTCTTCGCATAGCTGCCGCGAAAGCACTGGTGTCTCGTGACTAGCCGGAGGGTCCCACAATTCTCAAGATAATCAGGACTCTTTTAGTCCAACTTGTTGATTTTGTTGCTGCTGTTGCTTTTGCCGCCTCCCCTGTATCCGAAGGCTTCCCGTGTGCCCAATGCTACCTCCTGTTGCTGCTTTTGCAGCTGCCCCTAGTGAATTTCTTGTAAGAAAGCCTGCGTGTCTTGCTGCAAAAGCAGCAGCTCTTGGTGCGGCTGCTGCTGCTGCTGCACAGGCGGTAGAACCCTGTCTCCGACTCCATGACCTAAGGGGTGCCCAGACGCTTCAAGCCTTAGCGCTACTGCTTTCTGTAGGGCCGTCTGATAACCCAAAGTTTTAATAGAATAAGTCCTAACACATGAGTCTCCTTCCCCGTAGCGGCAGCACCAGTACGGGTCTTGCGGGCCCCTCAGAAACAGCTGCACCTTCGCAACACGCTGTTGTAACAGCAAGTCGAAAGCGCATATGACAGGGCCGTTAGGGCCTCCCAAAAAGCGACGCCCTACATAGCGGTACTTTGTTGCGTCTGATGCGCCTGTTGCGCCTGACTCCTGCGGCAGTAAGCGCATCAAAAGCAGCGATGCCAGGTAATCGTACACACGCAGCATACTCCTACAAGCTTTGACAGGAGCTGTTTCTGCAATCAACACCAGAGAAGCCCTGCCGCATGTGGCTGCAGCTGCGCTTTAAGCAGTAAATGCACCAGCATCGTTAAAACTTGCATGCAAAACAGGAATGGCTACAGTAACAACGGATCCAGCACTTGCAGCAGCGGCTGACGTTGTATATCTGAGGATTCCAACCAACTCCACTAAGCGGGTGCATCGCTTGTTCATTACTTGCCGTCGTTGCGTCAGTTGTCGCTGCTGCTGCGGGCGCTGCTGTTTCCATTGCCGCATTACGTTCTAGATCACTTGGTACAAGAGAAGGAAGTCCCCAAAGCGACCCATATGGGGCTATAGCGGAGAGGCTTGGGTCTGTCAGTAAAGCCACAGGCTCCGCGGTTGCTGGAATACAACAGCATGGCACCACAAACAGAAGCCTTACCAGCAGCTGCAACATTGTTACCGCAATGTTAAAAGCAGTTCTCTAGACAACAACGGCTTAGCATGAACAAAGAACAGTCTAAGCCGCATTACCAAGAGTTAACAGGAAAAGGGGAAGGGTAGTAACAATTGTAGCACAAACGGATCACACCTGTCAGGTGGTCCTTGGCCTTGTCTGCACTTGCACTTGAAAGAAGGCAATCAATTATTGCCAACATCATATTAATATCGTCAACGAGCACTCGCACGAGTGACTCCTTGTGCTCCAGCAAGCTGTCTGTCTGCTGCTGCAGCTGTAGCAGCCTTGCTTCCTCGCAGTTGCACTCCTCCAAAACTTGAGAAACGGTTCCCCATGCAAGGCTCCACTTGCCGTAGCTGCTGCTGTTCGCGACACTAGCAATTATACTGCTGCTGCTGCAGCCGCTGCTGCTTTTGCCTTTATAAGTGTCTCCTTTGACGTCAGAAAAGGCTGCAGTGAGCCGCTGCGATATTTCCTCCGCTACTTGTTGCACCGTCGCACGGGTGAGAACTGGCTTGCGGCTGTTTCGCGCTGCCTTGAGACCCTCAATGAAAACGCTTAGTGGCGCAGCCATGGCTGTGGAAGCAAGATGCTGGCGTTGAAGCTGCATTCGCTGCAGGGCACGCTCCCGTGCTTTGCACGTCTTATCTTCATCCGAGCTCTCAGGAAACCCTGCATGCGCTTCTTGAGTGCAACCCGCTTTGTACGCCTCCTGAAGGGCAGCAGCAGCAGCCGCCGTGCGGCATAAGTGCAGTGCCACATGCAAGAGCTGTGCCGTCTGCTCGTTGCTACGAATCGCTACCTCCAGATACCGCAACTCGCGCGCCACTTCTGCTGCTTTCAGCTCCAAAAGCCGCCAGTGCCGCATGACAGCCGCGACAGCCTTTTCGTCAAGGACTCCGCCAGCTGCTCTTGTCGCCGCCGCTACTGCCTTTGCAACTACTGCTACTGGTAAAAGCCTATCGTTGTAGCTTCCTTCAAGGTCTTCCGATGAACCGTCCTGGCTGCTGCTGCTATGATGGGCTGGCACAGGTGGAGCTGCTTTCGCCTTTGCCTCTCCTTTGTTTGGAGCAGTCTCACAGGTTTCAGCGCATCCTACTTTAAAGCTAGACGTTTCAGGGCATTCTTCGTTCTTAACGAGATGCCCCGTGTGCTGTATGTCTGCCTTCGCCAGCGCTTCTTCAGCTTTGGGCTCTCGTTTTGCTATGGGCTTCTGTACGAGAAGCCTCCTGGAAGCAGCGTCATCAGTGTCAGCCACACTGCAGACCGAATTGATGCTGTTGACCTTGCACCCCTTGACTAGATCTGATAAGGGCTTCCTGTTACAAATGCTGCTGCAATTTCTTGTGTCGCTGTACGTGCTGTTCTCCTTAATGCTATTCCAACACCATCTAGGAGGGAAGGAGGAAGCCCTTGGAGTTCTCAGCACCGGTTTCCACGCCAAAAGTGTTTCTGTGGCCGCTGCGTCTGTTTGAAAGCCGTCTGCTAGAAAAAGAGGTATCCCCGAAGGGGGTTCTCTTGGCGTATTATCTTTTGCCTCTAAGCATGAAGGTCCCGTGACTACCTTACCTTTCACATTTATAGAAACGTCCTCTGCCGAAGCCGATGTAGAGTTTACTGGCAGCAACGACTCCAAACTACATTCACTCTGCTGCTGTTCCTGTTCCTGCTGCTGCAGGCGGTGGAGCGTGCTAAACCACCGACTGCCCAGAAGGCCCCACTGGCACATCCCAGGAATCTCCTCCTCTAACTGCATGGTTGCTGCTGCTGCAGCTGAATATGTCATCGACGCAGCAAAAGCGCTCGAGTTTTCCCACAAGACTGTTGCTTTTTCCGAAGCGCCAATGCCAAAGGCAGCCCCACGCGTGCCGAGGCTGCCACAGAGAAGCAAAAAGTCCGACAGGCGGGCCCTTTGTAAGGGCAGTAGGGGACGCCTCGTTCGAAGCTTCAAACTACAACTGCAGCCCCACAATGCAATCCTCGATGCGGAGCAGTTGCATGTAGCCGCATCTGCGGAGTCATGAGCAGTTGCTGGGAAGTCCATAGCGGGCAACAGCGGCTGTTGTTGCCGACTCCACACTTTCCCTCCTTCAATGCTCAGAATACTGAAGGAACCCTGCTCTGTGTGGCAGCTAGGAGAAGGTGGCAACGCGCCAAGCGGCGCAGGGTGCTGCTGCTGCACCAGCTGGCGCTGTTGTTGTTTTCTGCTGCTCTGAGCACTGCGATGACCATTCGACTTTCTTCTCAGAGCCCCTTGAGAGCCTTTGTTGTTGGCGGAAACGCCCATATTCCCCACTGCTTGTGCTAACGGGGGCACTATAGGATGCGACTGCTGCTCAGCACAGTCCTTTGGAGACCCCTCCTGCAGCATGCTCTCAACCCTCCAGTTTGAGTAGGCGCCCATTTTGCTGCTGTCTAATGCTTCACTGCCGGTAGCTAATCCACAAATAGAAGTTCCTACCGACCTATTCATGACAGTACCTATTGCTGTGTCGGCAACAGCACCCCCGAACATCCCTTGCTGCTGCTGCGCCAGGCGTTGCTGCGGCAACGACTGCGCGACCCCCATGGAGATTCCTTTTGCTCCAAAGCAAGGGGATCCCGTGTTGTTGGTACCTGTTGGCAGCGGGAGAACCGGTTCTTCCTCAGGGCCCGTCGTAATACTTCCCTGGGGCATCGGAGACCCTAAAGGATGCTGGAAGCAGCCAAGGCCATGGGAACCTTTGTATATCTGCGGGGTCGGGGTTCCCTGTGGACCCCCTAAAAGCAGAGTAGGGTTATAGTCCCAGACACCTGTAGATGGTACATAAGCAGCCGACCCCTTGGCGACCCATGGGTGAGTCTTTAGGGCCGACAGCAATTCTCGCCAGTCTGGGACGGTGGAACTTCGGCAAGCCCCAGATGAAAGCCAGCCACCCCCCATGACTGTGCTATCCGCGCCTTCCGCTCGAGGTCCCTCTAATTCTGGAGGCACCACCCAAGATGACGCATCTGAGCGGCTCTCTTCATCGGCGACTCCTCCCCTACCTGGTTGCGCTACAGGCCAAGATGCTGCATTGACATCTGCTTGTGCAGGTATCCCTGCATCTGTTGCTGGAGCCGCTGCCGTTGCCATTGGCCGTTGCTGGGCATCTTCGCCTTCAGTATTAGCGAATTTGGTTCCAGTAGCAGCAGCCGCAGCCGCAGCAGCACGGCTGAGGGCCAGAATGCCCTGATGCCATGTGCGTACCTCTTGGTCCGTCGCTGGGGATCCCGTTAAGTGTACATAGACAAGAAACATCTCTGCAAGTGCCAAGGCGACGTCGTTAGAGTGTCTCCTTAGACTGAAACTCTTCATTCTTTTTTTCCCCCCTACCAAGTATCGAGCTCGCCACTCCCCTTTTACAGGGTGGTGATAGCACTGCCGAGCGATAGCCTCGGGGGCTGTCCCCGCTGCTGCAGGGGGAGTCCTTGAGGAGGCCTGAGCTCCTACTGCAGGTGGGCCTCCTGACACAAGAGGAACGTTCTCCAAGACAGAAGAACCGTGAGACAACTTGAGGCATGCAGACGCGTCGCCAGACACTTGAGCGTCCCCTAGAGGCAGGGCGCTCGGTCCGCATAACATGCTACCAACAAACGTTTCGCTGCCTATAGGGTCTCCCTGTCTCCCATCTGGAAGTGAAGGACCTGCACAAGGGCGACAGGGGGCCCCGCAGGGTCCACCAGGTACAACAATCTCAGGCGCCCTGTACGCGCGGGACCCTTCCTCTACAGACAGCAAGCTCAGTCGTTGAGTACTGCTGCTGCAGTTGCTGCCGCTACTGTCGCTACTGCCGTTATGCACAGATATGCCTGCAGGATGAACAGCACCAGTAGCACCACTTCGTGACGCAGCAACAAACGGCGCCTGTTGGGCATAAACTTGGCCCAGAGACATATTGGGGCTGTACAGATTTAACGCTGATGGCCCCTGTGGCACATCCTGCAGAGGAAGTCCCCCAAATGCCGGCTCTGCCGCAGGACACACAAAAGGCAGAGGCCCGTTGTGGAGCAACATTGATTGCTGCAGCAGCTGCTGCTGTTGCTGCGGCTGGAAGGCCTGATGTGGCGGGAACTCTTGCGCAGGAAGCATATGAACCTGTTGCCGCAGAGAGTGCTGCTGCTGCTGCAGAAATTGCTGCTGTTGCAGCTGCACTGACTGCTGCTGCCGCTGCACCATCGACTCCTGCTGCCGCTGCACTATGTGATACTCTTGCACAGGCTGCTGCTCCTGCAACAACTGCTGCCGGCGGTGGTCCACGGGCTGCTGCAGTTCTTGCAGTAACTGCTGCTGTGACGGGTCCACTGGCTGTTCCAGCTGCAGTGATTGCTGCTGCTGCAGTAACTGCTGCTCACGCTGCTGCTTAACGAAAGTTTGCTGCTGAAATAGATGCGGCTGCTGCCTCTGTTGCTGAAGGGAACTGTCAGGCATCTCACTTGAGCCTGAAGGCCCTTGCAGGACCATTTGATTATGCGGCTGCTGCTGCACGAACTGTTGCTGCAACAGTAGCTGTTGTTGCTGCTGCTGGTGCGGCTTCATCGGTAACACACCAGCAGCAGAGCTGGAGGTCAGTCTCTTGTCACTTGCCCTTCTCTTGGCCGGCCTTGTGGTACAGCTGTTGGTTCTGCTCCCTCGGCTGCCGCTGGTGCCGGCTAAGACCGGCGTGTTTCGCTTGGTTCTGTTGCTACTAATGCTATTCGTGGTGCTCATAAGCCCATTGTTTCGCACCGTCCCAGCAGACGCTGCAGAAACAAGTGGGGCGTCGCTATTGGCTCCGATGACTTCACCATTTAGTTGCAAGGGCGGCTGGCGTTGCTCACAGCCAGCCGCCGTTTCTGCTACCACTGTTACTGCTGCAGCTGCTACCACTGTTGGGTCGTTGATTTTGGCCGTCATCTGCTGCTGATGCTCTCGCAGTGCAGCGTCAACCTTCAAGGGAGGAACGCACCCTTCATCAAGTTTGGGGCTGACAACCCAAGGCAGACCCGCAGCGCCCAGAAGCTGCTGTGGGTCGCCATGGGTACCGGCGGGTGCACTTTCACAGTCTGAGACGGCGTCGCCGCTGCTGCTGCTGCTGCTGGTGCTGCTGCCACTGCCACGTCGACAAGTGTGCCGTTGCAGCCCCACCGTCGAGCGTCTCTGCCGGTGCATTTCGGCGTAGCTGTAACAGCATCAGCAAGCAGTGGGCTCTACTGGCTTCTGCTGCTGCTGCTGCAGGTGCTGCCTCAGTTACTCATGGACACAGTGGGCTTCTGCTCCCGTTGAGGATCCTGTGCTCCGCAGGACCCCTAGCGCGGGACAAGGAGGACCCCTCATGAACCATAAAGACTATTGATTTAGCTGCTAAGGCCCTCTGCCTCGCTGGGGTCAGAGCACCGCCCCTGGGGCACAGGAGATCAGCGTGTGAGAACAGCACAAGGCCAAAAGAGATCACAACAGTGGCAGAAGGGCTAAGAGTCACCTCCTTCGCGTTCTGCTGTGTACATTCGACCATTAGTCGCAGTACGTGAGGAGGCAGTCCTCTGTGTGCCAACTCGAGTTGTGACCTAGAGCCCACAAGGGCCTTCCGTGACTCCCTGTTGCCTTGTTGCTCCCGTGAGTGCTGCTACTCCCGCTGGTGCTCTTGCCACTGCTGCTACAGCTGTTGCTGCCACCGCTGTTGCTGCTGTTGCACGTATTTGTTCACCTACAGGGCCCCTCTCATTTTCGTCGGCTCTCGGCATGCACGGCCTGGGGCCCCGGCTGTTCTCCTGTGCCCGTGCGCGTCTTTTTTCGGTCTGGCAGCTGTACTTGAAATGATATACTGATAAACGACCTCAATTAATACGCTGAAATTACCCAGATCTACTGGTAGACCGGTGGCTATCGGCTGGTGAACTCACACCTTTTGTTCCATCGGTGTTGCACGTGGTAGGCGGCAGGCTGCTAGCCGTTGCTTCTCTATTCTTTACTCCCCAAAAGCGCACATAGAATTTAAATTGAATAATTAGGCTTATTCCAAACCGCATTATGGCATTTACAATAGTTTTTCTCTTGCTACGGCACTGGCGACGCAGAGGCAGTGTGGCGTATCGATATAGAGGAATCGCAGTCTAGTTGTTTTACTTATACTCAGAGACACCCTGCTACTTGCGTACCACTTAAGTCTCTTATGACTGCACATTTCTGCTATAGTATATTTGTTTCTATGTGATCCCCGATACAGCAGAAACGTTCGTAGAGAATCCCTTGCCTACCGATTCTCTGGTGGGAGGCTGTGCAGAGGACGGAGTGCCCTTTTGTTTCCGTTGCTCCTCTTTAACCGCCATTAAGAGAAGGAAACTGATTTTAAATCAAACTAAAGCGGCGCGTTGTATGTAGAGTCGGCATCGTAAGGAAGATATCCAAGACACCGCACGATCTGGAGACCACTCGAAGGAAGAGCGGCAACAAAGGACCGTCTAGAGAGCACTTCAAAGCTTCTGTGCCAGCAAAGTGTCAAATGCATTCTACCTTGATTTTTTGCTCCTGTTTCCTTCTTGGCTGCGTTCCGTGGGTTGGACGCAGTACGCTATGTGAACGCTTCTCTGTAGCCTGAAATAATGTGCCCTATGCTGCCACAAGTCATAAAAAGCGGTCAAATTTTGATATCTTCAGTGCAAATAACATGAAAATAGAGATTGATTGCGTTACACCTTGCATGGCTGGCTATTCTTTGCCTACTGATGAAGCCAAAATCCGCATGTACACGTACACTACATTGGGACTGTCACTAAATAGCACAAGAGAATACAGTTCGCTGTGAGCAGGTGGGAAGTTCAATTAAAATGCCTCAATATAGACACAGTATCATCACTCTTACTATTTCGACGGGATGAAGTGTGCTACGGTAGGCATTCTGCGGTCCTGGTGCCCACTTTGCCTTGCTGTAGCTGGCTGTAGATAAGCATAGAGAGGTGTAGACGCTTGGCACTGGCTGAATTCCGCGTACTAGCTATGGCTTGCCGATTTAAGCCTTCTGATGAACAGTAAATGTTCTTGTGTTGGCACTAATTGCACGGAAGGTCATCAAACCGTGGACATTGGGGATGAAATTAGACAAAGACGGCATTGCACACCAGGGAAGTGGTGCCCTTCATATGCAACACCAGCTATACAAAATCAATGGCTGCCACTTTTTGCTTCTTCCTTTGCCTGATGCTCTCCCTAGATACGTATCTAGTGGGAATTCGAGCTTGGTGACAGTTTCAGCCTACATTTCCAGTTAAACGCATGCGTGCATTTGCTCGATCGCAGATGTATTGGAAAGCATGTGCACGTGTGGATGGGCAATGGGCAATGGGCAATGGGCACACACACACACACACACACACACACACACACACACACACACACACACACACACGCACAGAGAGAGAGAGAGAGAGAGAGAGAGAGAGAGAGAGAGAGAGAGAGAGAGAGAGAGAGAGAGAGAGAGAGAGACAACGTGCATTGTGCGTGCACTGCTAAACATGATGCGGACTATGTATCAGGAGCTCATCACTGCCGGCACTATGCCTCGTGCTTCCTCACAATGACCTTGCAACGAGCTGATGAAGAAACGTATGGACGATTACGAGACTGAGACAAAGCGTGGCGTGAACTTGCAAGCGGCTCGCTCCCGACAACTGCACGCATCCCATCGCATCGTTTCAACTGCTAAGCTTCCTTTCCCAATATGCACGTGCTCACATCCGCTCAACGGCGGCACACATGCATCCACACACACTCACGTAGGCCCAATTAGTTGTGCAAAGCAGATATGTTTGAAAGTTCATGAGTTGGGATTCTGTGGAATGTGAGCCAATTAGTTCTGCAGTGAGTTATGCAAAGAAGGCTCCAGCTTGCTACGTATATGGTCGCGCTAAAGTTCCCGTTCGTCAAATAGAGAAACCCACTCTGAATATTGCCAGGAGAGTGGCTTGAGAGCACGCGTACCAGTAGTTCGAGCCACACACAGTGAAATTTACAACTGTTGTATATCTTGTATCAGTGTTCTCGTCTCATGTGATGAAGGATATCCGCATACACTGTCGAAACTAAAGCTTGCAAGCAAAGAGGAGGAGCATTCACAGAAGTCAATTTGCTGGCTGTCTTCGGTTCACCGCCTGCGTTTTCACCTGAAAAGCGACTTGCCTTGTATATCTACCTGTGAGGGTCTGTCTCGTGTCTTCGCGTTTGTTGGGCTGTCCTTATTTGACTTAGCATTTACACGCCCATCTGAACCTTTATCTGCCGCTGCTCCTGTTTGTCTTGTGCTTCCCCCTTCTCTCTGCCCTTCAATGCATGTACCAGATTTGGCGTGCACCGGCACATTCGTCTTCTTTCCTGTCTTCTCCTCTTATCACTCACCTCCCTTTCTTTTTGTTTCTGTGTGCCTGCCTTATTTTGTCTGTTTGCTTGCCTATGCTTTTCCTCAGTGGCTCACTGGCAATCTCTCCTTCAGTTTGCCTGCGTGCCAACTGCTCTCGGATTCACAGTGAGCCTTCCTGTTCTGCGAGCGCCCATCCTATATGCATGTGCGATTTTAGCTTTTTGCCGCTACAATTCCGGTTGTTGATTTGTTGTCGGTCTGGCTTTCGTTAGTCTTCCATTTTCTTCTCTGCCACCATGTGCCTGTTCCTTTGTGTCTATTTCTGTCGGTATTCAACCGTTGGGCCTGGTCATTTCTTATGTTCTCCAAGCACCTACGTCTGTACTTTTGTCTCTACTGATGCTGATCTATGACCTCGCCCTTCCCTTCTGCGCCTCCCATCGACTTCTGTTGATCCTGGTTACACCTCTTTGCTGCTAAGCGCGTGCAGATATGCAACCCCGTGCAGTGCGGGCAATCCTATATTGTGCGAAGAAAGAAAATTATCCGCTACATACAACCAAAAAACATTTTAAAATATTAATTGTCTGTACAGTTTATTATCACGCCTATCTTAGTGTGCCGGGGATTGCTGTTTTTCCTTGCATGCACCTGTGCCAATGTAAAACCAGTACGCAGCCCCCAACTTCATGAAGGCAGGCCAGCATGTCGAGCTGCTTGCGCTGACACACAAAAAACGAGGGCTCCGTCGTAGAGTCGTAGAATAGTGGACTACATACACAACCAGACTGCGCAGGATACAGATACCACGAAGTGTAGAGGACATGGCCGTCATGCTGCAGTCAATTTCGAGTACTGTGGTGGCTGAACAATTTTCTTCACGACGGCGAACAAATGAGGGGGCAACCATGAGGCCAACGTGATGACGAAAACTTTAGCCCAGAAAGCGTGTGTCATCACAAACTGAAAGCACACAGAGCCGTATCAGCACTTCAGAACCCTATGTCTTGTAATTTGGGCAGCCATCAAAAGCATTTGGAAACGAATATACAATAATCAGAGCTAACTACAGAGCCCTGAACAGTTGAGAACCAACAATGGACACCATAAGCTGCATGCAAGGAATAAAATACACGCGAGACAGAAACAGGAAAGCAGTACATGGTATCAGTTCATTATAATAAAAGAACACTACAGTCACAATGGAAGCAGGCATGCAAGCGAGCTTGGCAGCCGCAGGCAGCTAGGGGTCCAGTGAAAAGTACACCCAGCGAGGGGAAACACTTCATGGAATCAGCAAAGCCAAGCAGAAAAGGTACTGGAGCATTTGCACTTCGAGATATATGAACAGATGGCAACCCTCAGCTCAGCTTGCAAAGTTACCATCGAACCTCAAGGGTACATTCATCACAGGCAAAGAGGCAGCTAGGCAGACAGGCAAGCTCATATACTTAAAGGCAACTAGCGACTTACGGTGATATCGAAGTAGCTGCGAAGGATGAACATGGAGAAGATATATATGGTGACAGTGCATATCTCAGATGATACCATCAGCGGGTGCCTACAGAAACACAAGCAGCGCCAGCACCAGCGAGACCTACTAAAGAACTACCCAGAAAACAACAAAAGAAGGGGCTCCAACGAGCTCAGCAACCATAGCTGAAAACGCGGAAGCAACGCCAAAGTGGAAAACAGCAGCTACAGGGAAAAAACTTAGCAGCCATAGCAGCACCATCAGCGCACCATGTTTGTATTTCAGACGCGACATTCAGCAATTCGGCGAGGACAAGAGAAGTAAAAGTGATGGAGACGATGTTGG